CTTTGAATACTGCCCACCTGCAATAATGATTCCGTAACGTACTCCTTGCGCTATCTTTTGACCATTTGGCAACTTTTCGTTTCGTAGCTGACACGGTACAACATTTTTCTTTCGCTTACTTCACACGGCCAGTCATTTTGTTTACAAAGAAATGGTGTGCTATGCGCATGCGCTAGTAGAGGGAAATCCCTGAACAAAACGTTGGTCAGACAGGTAGAAATACCGATGATTTTCTTAGATTTAATCATTTTTATGAATCTATTTCAGCCAAATCCGATCGTTATTTTCCATAAGGAGTCTCACTTGATATGTTTATGTAGTATTTGAAAAAAGGCAAAAAGTAAAGTTACTTCACCGTGATGCCCCTTTAAGAAATAGGAGTTTAAAAGTGTGATTTAATTTGCCTATTGGATGCCAGCCCGAAAGGCCACAACCTCCGTTCAAGAACGATATTTATTCAGGTAATTAAGAACAGGGAAGCTTAAACTACTTAAGATTTTTTAAAGGAAACAACAAAATCTTTACTTATTGTTATTGTGAAGTATAAGATGTCATTATACACAAATAAAGAAACCATTCAAAAAGTTTGAATTGTATCACTTTTATTGAATTGTTGCCGTTTAAAACATATTTGAACTGTTTTTGTATATTACTGTTTTTGTTTTTAGATTTTAGCATACAATGATTCATCATACCTATTGCAGGCCTATATTGACAACTAAATCAACATTGTAAGAACAAATTGTTTCAATAAGCGCTGCATTGAACTTAAGCATCAGGTTAAACACGAAAGCGGTTAAATAAAAACAAAAAAATACAATACACCTCCAGCACACACGCAGACATACACACATAGGGAGATATTAGCCAGGTGGCACAGGACTAGTAATTAGCGCCTAATAAGGCAGCTCCTGCAAATTCCTCAAAAAGTATTGTACCTGCTGCCCCCATTGCATGATCGTAAGAGGCGACTAAATTTGGGATGTTATCTTTTCTCTTCTTTCTAAACAACTTTCTTCTTCCTAATGTCTCCCTTGACGATTCCTCACTTTTGGCCTTTAGTTGAGCGTTCGCCTCTGTGAGGAAGGCTTGGGGTTCTGTCCCCTGGCCGAGGCATACCAGAGTCTGTAAAAATGGTAGTTTCCGCTTCTGCTTAACGCTCGGCAATTTAGAAGTGGGACGACTGGTTCGCCCGTTTTCAGTATAATGTGACCAGATGGGGTGTCCTGCTGGGTGTCTTCGGCAGTATGTTTCAGTGAAGTAGCACTATAAAGTCGGCATCAGTTCCGCGCTATCACAAGGAGACTAACACAAACATATCGCAGCCTCCAAAAATACACACGCATACACTAAACACATGTATCTTGCCCACTGGGGAGATCATCCTTAAATGAAGCTGTTGATAGGAAGCTTGATTTAGTTTGGTTTATTATTGGTTAACGTCCTATAAACAGCTATGATCATTTCAGGACGTTCTCCCCTGGTTGCAAGATGTAAACCAAACCAAACCAATCAAAACTTATATTGATTAATGTATGTACTTATTGTATTTATTGTATAAAATGTTGATCTATGTACTGTAAAGCGCTTTAGAGTGGCGTATTCTAGCTAGATAGGGCGCTAGATCAAATGTTGTATATTATTATAATTGTATATACGAGAAACCTAAGCTCCGTTAGTTTTATCCTTTACGTCAAAATGAAAATTTAAGATGCAGAAAATTTCATTCATTAAAATAAAAAGAGAAATATAGCTGGTATACACATACTTATAACTTTTAAAACAGAACGAAAAATGCTTTCAGGTTCTACCGTACCTGGTCAATGTGACGTCACAAAACTTAATATATTTTTGAAAAAGGAAACACCTTAAAAAGATATTCGGCGGAGTTACAGTTGTAACAATTTTACTGTAAAAACTGACTGAAAGAGTTACTTTAAAACAGTCATCATATCATGTTTGCCGTTAATCCTTATCGAAGAATTTATTTATCAATTTATATGCCATTGAAAATCTAAATAGGGAAACTACTAAACTATAGTATTTAATACATCTTTATATGTTTTTCCATTTTTTGAACTTAGTGCTGGTTCTCAAAATCAAAAACATTTACAAATTGTAATATTAACACATCAAGTTTATAATTGCTGAATAAGTTAGTCCAAACTCTATTTTCGTCGTACGAAAACTTGTTAAGATATGAAGTGCTAATCGAAGATGGAAATACTTACGAAGTGCAATTATATTTAGATTTTTTTCTTGATAGGGTCCAGTAAGCTAATATAAATCAGAGGACAATCGGTGAGAAATAACACTCTAAAAACTGGACATATCAAATTGAAGGCGACAGACAGGATTTCCAGCATAACAATGTCACATATTTCTTAAAATCCATCAAAGTTTAGTTAATGTTGTTAACATTCCATTGAAAGGATTTAATTTGTGTGAAATTACCAGCCGTTGCCTTCTCTCTGCACGCTCGATTATGTAAGAGATTTAATGACAGTAATACATGTCCACTTCCGGGACACTGATCAATTTCCGGTATTGACACGCGAACGGTATTGCCAAATACGTGCAATATTTCAAATAATAGATAACAGATATATATGTAACCATGCTAGGAACGACGTGGGCACTGTGCGATAGCCGGTGTGTGAATAATATGTTCCACGCAATCAAATCACTGTCAATTTGTGCTCGATTGTTCAGCATATTATCGACTGGCGGTGATTATTACTGAATGTCTATTGTATTAATCGAACTAATATATATGTACTAATTGTTCCTATTCTTTACCGTTCGATCAGAGGTGCGTACGCTCAATTCACGTGCACGTACCGGTGTTCATTTCGATGTTAATATAATGAAATCGATTAACGACATATCCGCTGATGGCCACAATTTATAACGCTTGTCTATTGCCAACATGAAATCAACAGCAGGTGAAAGTTCCATTAGACGCAGTTACGTTATCTAGAACGCTATCGAACTGGATGCTAGATAACAAAGATACATATGTAGGTGTATGTATAATATTATGATACTGATACTTTCGACCCAGGACTTAATGTCATGACGACCTGTGCTTGGAAGCGGTACTTAAGAATTTATAACAGATTTCTTGCATAACGACACTACTAAATACTGATCTTGATAATATAATTACAAAAACCTGGTTATAATTGAGGCTAAACCATAGAAATGATTCATTTGGAATAAGGAAGGCGAAGTCGTAAACGGTCATGATGTTGGAAATTAATGACAAGATTAATTGTTCACAGATGTCTCCTTCCTAGATTTGAATTTGCAACCATGGATTTTATTTTCCGAATTCTACTGATTGCATATTTACAAACAATTGATTTAAGTTCGGCTGTGACTGAAATCAAAGTTGGGGTTTTACTGATGACAAGCGCACCGGAGCCTTTTGATTTAAGGCGCATTGGTCCGGCGCTCGACATTGCTTTTGAGCAATCTGAGAGACGATACGGAATAAAATATAATGTTTTTGTGCACAATTACACCGAAGGAACATGTCCCCGACAAACCACGATCGGACATTACGCGGAACTTGCCTATCAACAAAATATTCAAGCCGTAATAGGGCCAGCGTGCTCGCAATCTTTGGACGCTGTTGGAAGACTGGCACAATATTTGAAAATGCCTATAATAAGCGGAGTCGGAGATCTGATAATCCGGACTGGACCGGAAATGTATACCACATTGACAAGAACGTGCTATAATCTCGGAAAATTTTCAAGTAAGTTTAAAAGAAAAAATATGTTTCAAATATCATATCAAAATATTGTCTTCGTGGTTTTTGTACCTTTATGTATGGAATTAAAAGAAATTGTATACATTTACTTAAATTCGTAATGATAATTTAAGCGTTCTAATATATTTATATAAACAGTTTACTAAACAGACGACGAAATTGTGAAAAGGCAACTAAACGTTATTTATTGTTCCGGTTCTAGTTTTGTCCAACTTTACATTCGATGCAGTACATTTTTTTCACTTTTATATAGTTTTTAAATGATTTTAAATATCATAAGCATAAAAGAAGTCTCCACTCAAAACTTCCTACTGCACTAATATCAACATTGCGAACCGCATCTTTACTTTTAGTACTTTTCTTCATTTTCTCTCCTTAGCACATTTAGTTAGGTCAGAAGAATTATATATGACCCGTTAGGATGTCTCCCTGCGAAGTCCAGGTTGAAACATTTAAATTCGGATAAACTTGAATACGGCATGGACTTCTAGCGGCGTCATCACCTGTTAACACCGTCGTCATAAGTCCTAGATCAGTTGATAAAAAAATCTTTTGTTGTCGACGCTTGATAGAATGGTCAGATTCGTAAAAGACTAAAGTTGAGCTATGGCGGGAAACTGCCCATATTTCCATAAGTTGGCATTTATGAAAACGGAAAAAAATATTAATGAGTAAATAATTTCTAGCAGCGGAAATGCATAGGTCAGATATAAAACCAATTGAATATGAGTTTTTGAACTGCTGATATATTAGGTTTTGTTAATAGGACACTGCAAATATAGCCATATGCACTATATCTTTAATAGTGATGGGGTTTCCCAGACTTAAAAAAATGCTTTCAACACTTTCCCATCCGAGGACCAACTTTTGAATAAGCTTTATTATTCCGTATTCCGGAATGTGGTCATACTTTGGGAAAATGCTCAAAATAATGCAAAACAGGGATGAGCGAGTTTCTTAAACTGCGACAGGTGTTTCTTGGGTTAAAACAGTTTGTATTCACATCTTCGTCTATGTTCGATGTAGCCGAATGTGTAACACAGTTAACTTGCATTGTGACCAGACGAGTGAACGGTGCAAGTTCGAATCCACGTTCAGGTTCCTTTTTTAATATTTTTAATATTGAGGCACATGATCTTTTCCCCTAATTTAGTAAGAAAATATTTTTCAAATCAATGGTACATTTTATTTATATTTTAATAGCATACCTTTTGATTAAACTTCTATGGAGTCATGTCAAGAAATCACTGTACACTTGTACAGTACAGCTGCGCTTTGTAGATAAGACATCATCTAAAAAAATATTTATAAATTGTTTTACCCTCCAATTGGCCCTAGTAATTTTATCTATTATGTAAACACAAACAAATGATGCTGAAATACAAAACAATGTGGGATTGTTGCGTCAGAATAATAAAATGCTACCAACATATATTAAGTGTTGTAAATCGCAAATATATTACTATAAATACGGAGAAATTCATCGTTGAGGATAGTCGCGTTTGCTTGAAATGCAGGAAGACGGCAGCACAAAGCAAGGATCGCAATACACGTGTAAGACATGCTATTAAATCAAGATGTGTGTTTTGTAAGAAAGCAGGTAACGGCATGAGTCAGGCAGTAGTAATTCAAATTAAATCCTTTCAAAACTTGTTGGTAATGATTGTACGAGTGTTACATAAAGCATCTTATTTGTTTTAAATTCATAGAAATAACGCAAAATAACCATTTTGTTGAGTCTGTATCTTGAAACGCATGTATCGATAACCGTAGCCTTGAATTCGGCTGTTTCCATTAATCTATTCTTAGACACAGGGTCATAACAGAAAACGGTGGCACATCGGTCTCAGCTTTGGGGAAATAGGCATAGCAACCCGCCATAGCTCTTTGATTTTCTATAGACGATAATGTAATTACTTTCTCTGGTAATTATTCTATCCTCGGCGGATATGTTCAATGTTCGATGGTGTGATAGAACTAAAGCGTAAACCTAGCTCAGTATTCCGATATACAGTTACCTCCCCTTAAATCGCGTTTGGCTATAACTGATCTAGTGCATGCGAACAAGAAAAGGTCTCAACTTCTTTAGTAAGTGGTAACTGTTCACTCTCCACTTTAAAATGTACAAATATAATATCTAGATATATCATGTTTGCATGGATGTATATTGTATTGTACTGTATATACAATGATAAGTCTGAAGACTTAAAGTAATAATAAACTTGTAAACTTGAACAGTTTGGCCATGAAACTTCCATTAACCAGGTAGCTCAATCCGTTAGTGAGACAGTATAACAATCTGGTTCGGGGTTCGATTCCTTCTCTAGCCACGATACTTTTTCACAATCAGAACACTGTTGTTGATGATATTTTTTTGTTTATTTCATTTTTACTATTTCGCATAAAAGTCCCGCGAGATATGGTTTACTTTCAGAAATGATTTATCAAAGCTATAGTCATGCCGGAAAACAGTTTCCAATACTTAGCTACAGTTCTGGCAGTAGTACTGGGATTTTGAGCCGTTGAATATCTAACAACTCTCCCTATTTAAACTAATCATACTCGATTTTCTCTTTTGTTAGTTTGGTAAAACGTATTATAGAAATTTGGTTTCGCAGTGAAGATTTTCTCTTTATCATACTTATATTATCACGACGAACGACTCTCACCGTACTTCCAACTGTGTAACCTAAAAACTCGTCATATGTGACATACTAACTCGATTATTTTTCTGCAAGTTTAGTGAAATGTATTATTCTCAATATACTCGCACGCTTCTGAATCGGTGATTTTCGTTTCACGTTGGAGTCCGACAAAAGGCTCTCGATCTCATAACAAAATTTAAGAAACCAGCACATTACAAACAGACGATAATTATATATGCTATATTGTACAATTGTACACATGTTCTTTACTTTAAGTTGAAGAAGAAATCCCTCATTTTGGATCTCAGTAATTGTTTAACTAAACATCTATCTAATGCTATCTAAAATTTCGGCTGCTGGTTTTGTTTTCCGTTCTTTCTTTAAGCTGGCAACGTTGATTAATTTAAGAAAGGTCTACTTTTAAAACAGCAAACCATGAAAATGTTGAAAGAGGAATTTAGGCGAGGTTTATTGTCTAACTGGCGTTTCAGTAGCCTGCAAAGTTATGAACACATTTTTTGTTGTATTTTTTTTATTTATTTTTTCACAATTGTATTTGACATACACAAAAAATAGCACATTCTCTCACACTGGCATACACACATTCAAAATAACTCTTAGACATCCTCATCCTTCACCTGATTTCATCATCATCATCATCATCATTATCATCATCATCATCATTATCATCACATCATCATTATCATCGTAGATAGGAGAGGGGATTTCAGTTATTTTGTTGTTGTTGATTTAGCAATCCACGAATTGTCAATCACATGAAAGATAATTCGAGCGAACATTTTACTGAAATCTATATACACTGTGTATCTGATATATACACTGTGTATCTGATATGTACACTGTGTATCTGATATATACACTGTGTATATAGAAGATACACAGTGTATATTGAAGATACACAGTGTATCTAGAAGATACACAGTGTATATTGAAGATACACAGTGTATATCAGATACACAGTATATATATCAGTTACACAGTGTATATATCTGATACACAGTGTATATACCAGATATACAGTGTATCTATCAGATACACAGTGTACATATCTGATATATACACTGGGTGGCTTCTATATACACTGTGTATCTTATATATATACTGTGTATCTTATATATACAATGTGTATCTAATATATACACTGTGTATCTTATATATACAATGTGTATCTTATATATACAATGTGTATCTGATATATACACTTTGTATCTGATATATACACTTTGTATCTGATATATACACTGGGTATCTTCTATATACACAGTGTATATATTAGATACACATTGTATATAGAAGATACACCATGTATATAGAAGATACAGAGTGCATATAGAAGATACACAGGGTATATATAAGATACACATTGTATATAGAAGATACACAGTATATATATAAGATACACATTGTATATAGAAGATACACATTGTATATAGAACATACACAGTGTATATATCTGATACACAGTGTATATACCAGATATACAGTGTATCTATCAGATACACAGTGTGTATATCAGATACACAGTGAATATATCAGATACACAGGGTACATATCAGATACACAGTGTAGATATCAGATACACAGTGTAGATATCAGATACACAGTGAATATATCAGATACACATTGTATATAGAAGATACACTGTGTATCTTCTATATTCACTGATATATACACTGTGTCTCTGATATATACACTGTCTATCTTCTATATACACTGTGGATCTGATATATACACTGTGTATCTGATATATATACTGTGTATCTTATATATACACTGTATATCTTCTAAATACACTGTGTATCTTCTATATACACTGTGTATCTTCTATATACATTGTGTATCTTCTATATACACTGTGTATCTTCTATATACACTCTGTATCTTCTATATACAATGTGTATCTGATATATACACTGTGTATCTGATATATATACTGTGTATCTTCTATATACACTGTGTATCTTCTATATACACTCTTTATCTTCTATATACAATGTGTATCTGATATATACACTGTGTATCTTCTATATACACAGTGTATATAGAAGATACACAGTGTATATATAAGATACACAGTGTATATATCGGATACACATTGTATATAGAAGATAAAGAGTGTATATAGATGATACACAGTGTATATAGAAGATACACAGAGACATTGCCGTGTAAGTTGACATTTAACGAAGCACAAACATTAAAGTCAGATACACAGTGTATATATCAGATACGCATTGTATATATCAGATACACAGTGTATATAGAAGATACACAGTATATATATCAGATACACAGTATATATATCAGATACACAGTGAATATAGAAGATACACAGTGTATATAGATGATATACAGTGTATATATAAGATACACAGTGGATATATCAGATACACATTGTATATAGAAAATACACAGTGTATATAGCAGATATACAGTGTATATAGAAGATACACAGTGTAGATAGAAGATACACAGTGTATATATCAAATACACATTGTATATATCAGATACACAGTATATATATATCAGATACACAGTGTATATATCAGAAACACATTGTATATATCAGATACACAGTGTATATATCAAATACAGAGTGTATATATCAGATACACATTGTATATATCAGATACGCAGTATATATATATCAGATACACAGTGGATATATCAGATACACATTGTATATAGAAGATACAAAGTGTATATAGACGATATACAGTGTATATATAAGATACACAGTGGATATATCAGATACACATTGTATATAGACGATAAAGAGTGTATATAGAAGATACACATTGTATATAGAAGATACACAGTGTATATAGACAATATACAGTGTATATATAAGATACACAGCGTATATATCAGATACACATTGTATATAGAAGATAAAGAGTGTATCTTCTATATACACTCTTTATCTTCTACATACAATGTGTATCTGATATATACACTTTGTATCTGATATATATACTGTGTATCTGATATATATACTGTGTATCTGATATATACAATGTGTTTCTGATATATACACTGTGTATCTGATACATACACTGTGTATCTGATATATACAATGTGTTTCTGATATATACACTGTGTATCTGATATATACACTGTGTATCTGACTTTAATGTTTGTCCTTCGTTAAATGTCAACTTACACGGCAATGTCTGGAATAATAACTAAATGATAATAAACACAGGTGCATGATGTATGTTGAAATATGAAATGAAGGTGTGGAAATGTGGGGAAAATAATTAACGAAATGCGTATAGGGTATATGTAAAAGATAGCCATGCACCATAAAGTGAACCTTATGCATTCTACATTAACTTACGAATAAACATAATAGTTTTAATGAGTTCGAGGCACGGAGAGTACACTATCCACAAAAGTTGACTCCCTTTGAAATGTGTGTTTCAATATCAGTAAACCTAATGTAATTTTTACATTGGTAAGCTAAATATATCCTAATCAGCCAAAACTGATTTCAGTCTACTTTCGTGCCAAAGGCCAACATAAAAATTCACCGGAGTGAGAAATCGTACAAGGGGTGAGAAATCGTGTCGCTAGCGCAGCAGCTTTAGAACGAATTCTCACCAGAGCGACATTTATTAGTCTGATTCAAGGTCAGGTAAATATCTGTATTCTGTATACATCTGATATTTAATTTGATACTTAATTTGAAACCGGATGAAACTGGAACGTAAAATAAGTTGTTGTTTTTTGGGTTTTTTTTACGTTTCTTTTAAAAATCAAATGTGTAATGTCAAATGCTTTCTGTAAATGGCTGCATACCATTTCTCTCACCATGAAACAATTACAACAGGAATGGAAACATTATCTGGTGTTGTACCTGTAGCGATGCAGCTAGGTACACACTCCATAACACTCAATATGAACATTAATATTGTTGTAAATGCACTTACAGGATTGTCATTTGTCTTCTCCTAGATAGTGAATTGCAGGAAGATATTACCCTATTTCCAGTATCGATATTAATCAACACAGAAGAAAGCGTAACAGTGCATGTTCGATTAACGCCAATAAAGGTTAAATACAAAGGCTTGAGAACCAAGTTTGCCTTTTGACAACACTGTTGTCTGTTTGTACAGAGTATCGGCCGATCAGCACGATAAGGTTATACATGACAACACTGTTGTCTATTTGTACAGATTATCGGCCGATCAACACGATAAGGTCATAAATGACAACACTGTTGTCTGTTTGTACAGAGTATCGGCCGATCAGCACGATACGGTTATACATGGCATCACTGTTGTCTGTTTGTACAGAATATCGGCCGATCAACACGATAAGGTTTACATGACAACACTGTTGTCTGTTTGTACAGATTATCGGCCCATCAGCACGATAAGGTTATACATGACGACACTGTTGTCTGTTTGTACAGATTATCGGCCGATCAGCACGATACGGTTATACATGACAACACTGTTGTCTGTTTGTACAGATTATCGGCCGATCAGCACGAAAAGGTTATACATAACAACACTGTTGTCTGTTTGTACAGATTATCGGCCGATCAACACGATAAGGTTATACATGACAACACTGTTGTCTGTTTGTCAAGTATAAACGGTCAATCAACACGATAAGCTCATACAGTATTACACGATAGTCGTTTGATTGGAAAGACTCAACAACCCATCAGCACAATAGTTTCACTTGGGGTCCCGTGGTTAACAAACAATTGCAGCAAAGATGCTGGACACAGGATATTAATTTGGGTTTGTCCGTCTGTCACGCTTCATTTCCATGCAATAACTACAACAAATCATAACATGTTCATTAACTCTCGGAAATATTATCTGATTGTTCTCAAACTTGATAACAGGGTTTAACACATTAAGGGCTCGCACAAGTTTGACAGCCACTTTAATCGGACTGCATTTGGCAGAGTTATGGTCCCTTGATTAACGAAAAACGTCATTATTTGCAGTATCCGCTTCATAACTCTAGCAAATATTAGCCAAGTTCCTTCAAACATGATAACAATGTTTATGTTCCTCTGTCTCTCCACTCATATCGGGCACTCTATGGTTTTCGTGTGATAAATGCTGTAGACATTGTTCAGATGTTTCAACCTAATTCCGTGTCACATCCGACTCATGCTAAGTTTGCCAACCGATGTGATTTGTGCATATTTACGGATAATCAATGAGGTATAGGGCATTTTGTTTATCTTCAAGTTTCAAGCTATACATCATGTCTCAACAGCACGATACCCACATGTTTTAACCTAACCGCGATAATGTTAACCTACAAAATGTCCTGCAAACGGGGGATATGAATTACACGAATTTGCTTGTTGTGGATATAGTATGCGGCCTCATTTTCATTAATTAGGGGGTTTGAAAAAAGACACGGAAGTGCTTCCAAATTATGTTATCAGTTCCTCTAAAGAACGAAAATGTGAATCGATAGAGATCCCACAGTAGTCGCCTCAAACGATCATGCCATGGTTGTCAAGAAGGATTTGTAATTTAATATTGGGCTTTTTTATTTTTATTTTCATCATTTTGTTCCCCTGACGATTCAACGGAGAAATAATTGACTTTACACCAATGTACCAGCGATTACGAACGCTCACTGTAAATAGCTCATCGCTTTAAATTTGAAGTGATATTGTTATCGATGAAATGACATGTCCATTTACACTCACACTCATGAGCGAAATCCTTTCATTTGCGCAATGTTAAGCCTACGTCGATAATCGAATACCTATTTTTTCATAGGGAGTTTGTTCACACTCTTAGTCAAGGATCTAGTATGTCCACCGTCACCTAAGTGTGAATTACGACACTGGTGAAAATTCTTAATTCTATGTAGTTGAGTAGAGTTGAAAACGAGTTACCAATTAAACATTCTACCCAATGACAATGTATTATTGGAAAATAAAATATACACGTTCATGTATTTTTCTCGAACCGTCCTCGATACTACAGGGGTAAGCCTCCATTACGCCGGCTGCACCCCTGAAATATGTCATAGCAAAATTGAAGGCTCTAAGATAGATAATTTGATTGGTCTCAGGTATAATAAACTGACCAATCGCTAGACTGATACCTGTCCTTTGAAGTGTACAGCCGACTTCAATACAAGTCGATTTTACCGTTACGGCGCTACGAGATTCTGTTCATGTACATCAAAGGTTAAAACAAGTCTTCTTGTCTCATCCACAAGGTGGTGCACACTGATACCTCTATTTTGCTATGAAGTATCCCAGGGGTACAGAGAGCGAAAATGAGCGTTACCCCAGGTGTATCGAGGATGTTCTCCTACAAACAATCCACGTGCAACTCTCCTCCAAAAGCATTTCCCGAGCTCAACAAGTTAGTCGTATGTGACTTGCATTTGACGTCCAGTGAAGGTACACGAGTACTTGTACACATCTAAACGTTTTCACATACACCGTCGTTAAACTGAAATTATATTTAATAATCATTGATATTACCTTGTTATTTAATACTTTATTTAGACACTTATTTATCTGTCTTTCTATACTGTTCCAGCTTCCATCATGGGGTTGATGCGGGAGTACAATTGGCGCCATATTGCCGTCATATATGACGTCGATTACATTTTCTTCGAGTTGGCAGGCGGAAATCTGGTGCGAGATTTCCATAATGACATCTCAATGCCACGCCCACTCGACCTCCAGTTTCAAGCCTCAAAGCATGCTGATCCCGGTTCACTGTTGATCGAGGCTAGCAAGCAAGCTAGATGTAAGTAAACAGGTTGTTCTAGATTATATATTGCGTCAACCTAACGTCCAACAATAAAATGATTCTCTAATAATCTGTTAATAAACTGTATGTTAAAATTATTTTTGTATCGATTTAGATATTGCTTTGCACAATATGCATGCCTAGGTATTGCTGATTATACTGTTAGAGTACAAAGTTTAGCGGTATTTCTATGTAAGCGCATTTCGCACTTTAACTATTGCATTTAAATATAATTGTGTCTATTGAAATTCTTGTATATTGCTTTATACGACATATTTCGAGGATGCGTCAATGCATTAATGCGCTAAGCTGTGGAAATTCGATAATGCGCTAACATCTGTGCACGCTTAAAGTATTCTTACAATACCAGTATATGAAAAACATTTTATTTTTTCCGAGAAAGGTCGTATCGGAAAAAACAATTGCAGAAAATTCCAATAAGTGCTTTATAATAGTTAGACGGCAATATAGTTGAAGTCATTGGGTGGCAATGAGTAGGATCTTATATGGATGTAAATGTGTACATATATATAGGATTCTCAAAAATACAAAAAGAGAATTGAGTTCAAATATTGACTTTAAAGGTCAATATAAATCCCCTAAACATTTCCTATAAAAAATTATATGAGGAAAAATACATTTAGATACTTCGATAGGTGAACATTGGGTTATCTTTTACGGACTTAATGTTAAGTTCGCAGCACATCAAACTGATAGTTAAATTATGAATGATCAGATGTTACCTCATTGTATTGTTTGTCTGTGTTTTATGATGTTTGAAGTGTTATTTCAATGCTATTAAAGTAAATAATAATTGTTGGCAGTCATAGTGATTTTCTGTGACGCCGAACTCCTTAGAACGTTCATGTACCGTGCGTACCAGTTGGGGATGGCTAGGGGAGGATATGTGTTTCTAACCATGGAACTATTTCCTAGCGACTGGCTTGGCTACTATACTGAATTCCTACGCGGTGAGTAACCAGATACCGTTTCACTGCTAATAAATTGAAGTTAAGGCTCGCATGTACAACGTGTATATTGCAATCTGAGGCTTACTGACTGCTGTATGCTACGTATTCGTTGGTGAAATAAGTTTGAATACATACTTGAGAACTAAATGTTTTATTCAATTGAAGTCACGATTAATGTCGCTTTGTAAGTGCTGAAATCGCTGTGCTCTTTATATCTTGCTACCTCTAATAAGCAATTAAAATAATTGATGTATGTACACACTCGTTTAATATATGATCTGTCAGCTTTCTCCACACAATCTATGTTGTGCTAAATTTTTATAATACAAACTATAAATATATAGAAGCGAGTGTGTTTAAGTTGTGAAAGTTTTGGATATCGGCATTTGATAAAATCGTAGTTTGTGATCTATTTTAATGAACGCGTTTCCCCTAAAAGACAAATAAGATCGATTCCATTCTACATATATCCATTTTAATACAACAAAATAAAAAATAGAGTTCAGTTTTACGGAGAAATTAGTATGTATGTATTACGTGTACTTTGCAGATCACCAACACAAAAACAAGAACAAAATTGATTAATTATTTCAATTATTGTTCTCCTTGCATGCTATCACTCAATCTGCAGGAAGATATGTAGATCAACATGAACTATTTCTGCATGTTTTTGTGGTATTCCTATTAACTTATATGTATTTTGTCACGCTGACCATGTGCCATTACCTCCAGGTGACCATATGGACGCTGGAGTATCCAAGGCTTACGAGTCAGTTTTGATATTGACCCTGAGCCAGCCCAACACTACTGAATACAATGCCTTCGCTGACGAGGTCAAGATGAGGGCACTCAGGGACTACGACTATGATTTTGGGGAGCAAACAGTGAGACTTAACTTGTTTAGCATCCTATTGACAACTGTGAAAGTATTTTAAGGAGCAAGTTGTATTGAAAAATATAAAACTTGATAACACATACAAAATCATGCTATGTTAAGCTGATTCAGCTTAATAAAATCATAAGAATCAAAAATAAATGCTACACGTAATTTGTTAATTCGATAGACATATATGCATAACAATCATCTGAAGAATCAGCAGCCTTTCAAAAATTGCATCATACAGTTGTTATGTCCTTCTAGGATACATAAATAATAATAAAACTTTTATTCATTTCCAGTTTAATTTCTTTGACATTTATGCATAACAACAAATAACAGTGGACATTGGGACCGGTAGTAATTTTGTTTAATTTATGATTAAGTGTTAAAAAGGATTGCGTTAAGACCTACTCACTGAATGTGATATATTAAAACGACCAAACGGTAGTGTTCGTGACTGAATTCCTCTCCAACCAATGTCTCTTCAGCTTAGACAGACAGAATTTGTGCTAAAATAATCTTTTTTTTTTTTGCATATCGTTCTTACTGAAGGAATCATCAATAATATGAGCATATTTATCTCATATTTGACTCAAGAAAATGATATAATGAATATAAGTTTTATATATACAAAATTTGAAAAAAAATCAATTAACATTGTTTAAGTATCTTTCCAACAGGTAAACTATTTTGTGACGGCATTCTACGAAGGTGTACTCTACCTGTCCGAAGCATTTAACCGGACGTTAGCGGACGGACAGAATATAACGGATGGTCTGATAGTTTCACAGAAACTATGGAATAACACATATCCGGGTACAGTTAACCAGACAAATATACATATAACGAGATAAGATATGCACCGTAATAATAGTTATTTTCTTTACAATATACCCTTTCAAAAATTATGTTTCTATTTAATTGTTGGAAACAAGTTTGAGGTACGGTAGTCTAGTGGTAGGACGCCGGGCTCGTTACCGAAGGGTTGCGGGTTCGAGTTACGTCACGGCACTGTGTTGAATCTTTGAGCAAGATACTCTATTAAAGTTTTTCCAGTCTACTCAGCTGTAAACGAGTACGTGGTTGGACAGTGATAAAATTGTAGAATGCTAGCTGTAAACGCCAAAATGGCAGCACCGGCTGTATGCTCCTTAGGGAGTTAAAAAATATATTTGCTGGTTGCATTTGTGAACCGCTTTGAGACGACCTACGAGCTAAATTGTGGTAAAGTGGTATATAAGAACCTCGACGTATTATATTATCATTATTATTATTATCAAATAAAACATATCAAATATTTGCTTCCTTAACCCATAATCATTGTATACGTTGATAGATCTTTTCGTCTACTTCAATTTACGGGACTATCAGTGATTATCCAATTGATCTACCTTTATAAGTAACACACCATCAAAATACTCGTAAAATCTATATATTTTATATTTTCATATTTTGTATTTTTTTTAAGAAATTTATTTTGCTATACATTCTTCTTATACTTTCCTCCTACCATTAGTATAGAAAATATCCTCACGCTTTACCTTGACACCTTTCCAAAGCCTTGCCGGTATTGTCTATAGCTACGCTCATATATAGATGGGCACTTCATTTCTATGTGGAATTTGATAACGTACAATGTATCCTAATTGGAGATTAACAAACCGGATATGGTTGTTAGCGGCAACATTTTGATATTAAACACATAGAAACAAATGGACGCCATTATATACTTCAGTAGACCTCTCTTAAACTATGCACAAATGCAGCGTTGGTTTGCAGAACTCCATATAAGCAATACATACAATCATCCAATGATGTCAGACTGTAAAAATGTCTTAATTTAAATTGCGTCGAAAATATTCAAGCGGCATTTACATTGACATGTGCAATTATGCTTACTCACAGTTTCCCATCTTATTTAGAAAGCAATACTGCTGACGGCTATGAATAGGTTCTTGAAGAAATAACAAAAATCGTTTATCGAAATAGCTCAAAACCTTGATTTATTGTTTTTACTATGTTAATCAATATATTTCAATTTTATTTTTTTTATTATGTAAATCAATGCTGTCAGTTTCAAACTTAAAGATCCTTATGTGTCTTATTAACCTATTCTTTACTGTGCGCAATTACAAAACTATCACTGAAATAGCAACGTAAAACTGTCATTGTCTTTAGATAATTATCGGTGGATCAAATAATAATAGCTAAACATGACATCTTTTTTTGACAATGACGCACAAAATAAAAAAAGAACCGTGCTTTAACAGATATAAATCTTCAACCACATTTGATAAAATATATCAGATGAGGAAACCTTTTTGGGTACAAATGAACGCGGATTATATTTAATGACCAGAAGTATTTTTTTTAAACTTTACTTAATATTTTATAATTTGCAAGAAGCTATTGTGACCATATAAAACGTGTAAATTGACAGGTATATCCGGTACGGTGGCGATAGATGAGGTAGGAGATAGAAGAGCGGACTTTGATTTCCTGGATATGACAGATCCGGCCATGAGGACATTCGTGGTAGGTTCATGTTTAGCATAAACAAAATTCATTGACACTCATACTAGGTAGGCCCCTACAGGAGATAACTAGCCAACAGTTTCTCCTCGTATAGGACCCAGACATTAGGTTTCTCTCGTCTTTGTTCCTTGCCATTATTTGCTCCTAGGTAAGTTTCTCCTCGCATTGTTCCTAAACACGTGTGTCCCAAAGCAGGTTTCTCCTCACCATATTTCTAGTCAATATTTTCTCCTGTGTATGTATTTGTTGTGGGTTCACATGTTCAATGCTGTTACCTGAGTAGGTCGGTATCTTGAACTTGTCTGGTCACCGTCTGAACAACTGTCTGAAGATCACGCAGACCGTCAGCGCTGGGGAACAGGTCCTCTCAGTACTTCATTACTTGGTAGATTTCTCCTATTTGATCGATCGGAATAGACAGTATGTCGGAATACATATGCAGTAGTTGATAAATATAAAGAAAGGGACTCACAACATCATGTTACATTAAACGTCATTAATGGCGTCGAAATTAAAATATTATGGAATGATCCCGTGTAATAATTATAAAGAGCAGTCATTTTGCCAGTGGTACGCAGCACAACTTTACCCGATTGTTCTATACCATTTGCCAGTGGTACGCAGCACAACTTTACCCGATTGTTCTATACCATTTGTCAGTGGTACGCAGCACAACTTTACCCGATTGTTCTATGACATTTACCAGTGGTACGCAGCACAACTTTACACTATTGTTCTATGACATTTGTTAATAGTTTTCTTGTTGGCATAAAAAGGCACTTTTTAATCTTTTTTTTAGTCTGTAGGTACATTCAAAGGATCAACTTTACAGTATATCCCAGTCCTGGGGGTGGCCATTCACTGGCCGAATGGATTGCCAATTGACGAACCCATATGTGGCTACACAGGCGATAAATGCATTGCGAAAGGTTTGTTGATATATTTTGTGAATGCTGTACTTTATCAGACACACCCCAAATCAATACCGTTAGTTAAAAATGTACTTATCAAGTAAAGGATTCACGCAAGCGCTTGCCATAATTCCTGCTGTCTATTATTACTTTTTTATAATTAATTTATACTTATTAATATAATGTAATTGTACAATACATTTTCATCGCTCATTACGAGCGTTTTAAGATTGAATCTTGTCACTATTAACATATTTCGCTCGTTGCCAGCGTCCTATTGTTACCCCTTAGTGTTACCAATTTGTTGATATCAATTTATTAATTGGCGGGTGTCGTCGAGAGAATAGAAGACACTTACCCTTAGGAAAACCTTGCCTTATTCTCTTTTCATAGATTACATTGTTAATCTTTCCTTAGTCTTATTTTGCTCTGCTTTTATCAATTTTGATTTCGAATCATTGTTTTGTTGACGTTTTGTATTATTTCTTTTCTTGTAGGACCTTATAACTTGGTCGTTATATATTGTTAGGTGTAGTTGAGCCAGAAAGCCTTTCACGTATTATCGCGCTTCTTTATATTGACATTTTATATCAATGTATAGAAAGATACTTATGAGACATTTAAGAGATGACTTAAAGAAAGTGTCGCTCTTCTTTCAAGTATAAATATTTTAAAATAAATCGTAAATGTTAGTTCAAATTTTGTAATGTTATATTAAATTTTTAATTTGATATCTTTCGCAGACAATAACACAACGCTTATCCTCGCCGTGACCTTCGTCACTATAATCCTCGTAGCGTCTGCCATTACAGTTTTCATCTACAGGTAAGTAGCCTTAACTGTAATGCCGAGTGGTTTAATGCATAAACTGTAGCACATATTTATTCTTGTCGATTTGATATGATTTGTAATGATAACTGACAATATGTTAATGCATAGGTATGTCTAATGCCTTTGTCACAACCCTTCCTCTTTTTGCACATATGCAGATTATCTATCATGAAAACAAATTTGCAGCAAATAGTACTGTTTAAAGTAATTGGGCTCGTTATCTGTACGAACAAATATTTTTATTCTGTTAAACATCGAAGCAAATCCAACATATCAACAAACCGAAAAATATGCATTTGCTGTTTTTATTTTTTTTATATCAGTTTCATTCCACCTATTACAACTTGTTTTCCAGGAAATTGAAATTTGACTCTGAGATTGGTAAAAAGACATGGCTCATACCATGGGATGACGTGAAGTTATCAAAGGGGGAACAAGGTGGTTCAGTTTTATCAAGGTCTAGGATATCGATGTTGGCAGCCGACGGAAAAGTAAGGGTTGACGCAACAACGCAGTTGTATTTCATACGCTTCACCAATTATGAATGTAATATAGACTATAGGCGGATTAATATGACCAATATCTAATTATTTAACCGCTGTAGACCATAAATGACTCATCCAGATCAATACATGGTAGGGTTTACTAAAGTTTCACAGGGGTGAAAGAGTAAATTTGTATAAGAGTTTTGTTCAGATATATTTAAATTCAATTTTGCGAATATGTTGCATACAGTAAAAGTAAGATACTCTTATATTTTTACAGTTATCGAAATGGTAATGGCAAGTCATGACTATGCACTGTTTATTACACGAGTATTTTAATGGACTTGACGTGAAAAGGATACAAAAGATACATGTAGAATTTTGTCTTTCCTTACGTTGGAGGCTTCTCAGTGTATTTTTCATGTTGTTATCAAATTAAAAAAATGCATTCCAAGTTTAAATATTTTCAATATATTACTTTTAAAACGTTTGTTGGAATATTGATTCAATATATTTGACACAGATGGAGGAAGTGATCCAACACCAACTCTTCACCACAGTAGGAAACTGTAGGGGCAATGTCGTGGCTATCAGAGACCTTAAATGTTACAACATTGACCTTACCCGAGCAGTTCTTATGGAATTTCATCAGGTAATTGAACATTAAACAGTTATGTTAATACCTCTAGATCTGAGAAGCCAAGCGGACGTTTAATTAAGCACATACCTTAACTATACCTGATGTCTTCGTTTTGTAATTGCTATGTTTGTTTGTCTTAAGGCAGTTCTTATGGAATTTCATCATGTAATTAGCCAATGAACGACCTCAATACAATCCACAATTATATTAATAACTCTTGATTTAAGAAGCAAAGATGACTTCAAATTTAGTCCACTATTTAACTATTACGGATGTCATATATTTGCGACTTTTGACGTAAGGTGAAGTTAACACTCTGAAGGTAACCGTAAATACAAGAATGTAAGAACTTTTATTTCTGTCACATATTTGAAAACAAACTGAAGGAAAGCAATGTAATAAGCATATTCATACGTTTGTCCTTCAGCTTCAAACGATGCAGCACCAGAATCTAGCCAGATTCACTGGTGCATGTATCGAACCTATGAAGTGTGCGATACTGATGGAGTATTGTCCCCGAGGTAGTCTACAGGTATGTGGGTCTCTCAGTAACCAAGCTTTGGATAGGGAAATACACTGCCCCCAGATTAGTAAGTTTGTTTCATATTACCTACCAATTGTGTATACCATGTTGCAGTTGGTGATAAAGCACACTTTGCTGCAACTGATTTTTTTTTATTATTTGAGATTAATTACCGCATTCGATTGGGGAGCATGCAATTAATCATGTTACGAAGTCAATATTTTGCTATGTCATTGCCAAACTTTGCATAAGCCAGGATATCACAACACAGTGATAAAACAGTACGAGACTTAGCATTTNCCCCCCCACACACACACACATTTATTTGCACTTATTATCAATGCAGCGCACATGGAAATCCTTACCATGTACAGTATTTATCATTAACGCATAATATCAATTGTTTATCATTTAATCAGGATATTATTGAAAATGACGACATCAACCTTGACTGGACATTCCGTTATTCACTGATCTGGGACATCATTAGGGTAAGTTATTAAATTTAAATATTAAGATACATAGCAAATATTTGTGTTGACGACTGCATCAATTTTAAAGCGTAAACTAAAAACTCTCCGGTAGGATACAATAACTACGTAATTACTAACTGAAGGGATTGCATAATCCCATAAAATCATTGAAATGCGTCGAAAACACCGTGATAAAAAAATAATGAATATGCAATTTTATCAGCTAAGAGTGTTTGTAACTAATATTACCATTATAGTCGTGTTTGCAATGATAAGATAAGAATCTTACAAAGATGAATCATATGCAATCATATGGTCTTGAATTAAATATATGGAGGAAATACTGTTCGGCTGTTTTACCTTTTTTTTCTTTAAGTCACGGTTGGTAGTTTAATGACGTATGGCAGTTTTGATTTTATCAATCCATCATGCACTGAAACACTCTAATTTCATAGTTTATGTTAAATTATTTAGGGAATGCAGTACATCCAGAACAGTGCGTTAAAATACCACGGCCGATTGAGCAGTACTAACTGTGTAATCGATAGCCGGTTTATGTTGAAACTAACAGACTTTGGTATCCCGACGGTGTTCCTCCTGGAACGTCAGGTCGCTACTAAAGCCAATGAAACAAACATAAATAGTAAGTAAACTCACCCTGCATGCATAAGTTGCATTTATTGTTCTATTTTGGTGGAGGTATAAAGACACGGATAATTTTTTTTTTGTTTGTTTGTTGTTTTTTATCAAACGTGTTTTTGTTGGTGGTAATCAGGGCAATTGCAAATTTGTTTTCCAGAGTGAAAGATTTGTTTTCAATCAATAATTAATCAAGAATAATCGTTATCAGAAGAAAAAGATGTAATAATTTTCATTTGCCAATCTCGTGCTATTTAATTAATCGGCGAATACAGTAGTATTTTAATTTCAATATGGATAACAAAGATTGGGTAATGGAATTATTTTCGTTTCTTACAGAGTTGTTATGGACAGCCCCCGAAATACTCCGAACATACAATAACACTCTCCACTGTCCAGTGACCTATCAGAAGGGGGACACATACAGTTTTGGAGTTATACTTCAAGAAATTGTGTTACGAGGTTGCCCGTTTGACGAAATGGACTACGCTACAGAGGGTAAATATCGATACTTTTGGGAGAGATAGGGAGTGGATGTGGGATGAACAGCTATAAAATAATAGCAATACGTATGGTAAATACAATACATCATCTTATAAATGATAATAGAAAAAAAATGTTTGTTTTCACTTATGAGGACTTGAAATTCATTGGATTCGGGTTAAATTTACTTGACGTTTTTTTTCGATGAAACAAAAGACGCTTACCCTTCCGGAACACCTGGACTTATTCTCCTTGTAATATTTCAAGGGTATCCATGAAAATATTTCATTTGTTCTTATTTTGCCTTCGTTTTATCGATTGTGACTTCGAATTATGATTTTGTTGTCACTTCGGTTTTCTCTTATTTATTCATAGTTTTAACCACTAAAAAGAGTTAAATGTCATGTCATTAAAACATATTATTCATTTAACAGAGATTATAAAAAAGGTAAAAGCCCAACCAGACAAGAACATACCTTTCCGTCCAATTGTTCCTATGGCTTCGTGTAGTAAAGAGCTGCACTTCCTCATGCAGACGTGTTGGTCAGAGGAATGGGAAGACAGACCGAATTTTGACATGGTTGCATCCTCCTTCCGGAAAATAAATTCGTAAGTACATTGATAGAGACACAAGTGTATTTGGAAGAAGTAGGTTTATAAAAACCTGATCATCATTCTTTGTCGAAATATTGCACAAAATCCTGTGTAAGGATACATATCCACAGCAAAGGCATCAAATAATACAATGCAGCATTTTTTTGGAGTTTCTGTTGATTCGTCGTTCAAATTTGCATGATGGCAATATCGTTTGTTATGAAATGTCATGAGTTGCACATTTAATTGGACAAAATCACGTACCCAATTAAATGTCTATAAAACAAACAGTTTGATTTGACCTCTGCAGTTTATTTCTCAAACTCTAAATCCATACGTTTCTCATTTTAGAAATGTGAACTATGGCCAAACTAGTGCATTATTAATATATGTAAAGGAAAGACAAATATATACTTCATAACTGACTGTTAATCGTTAATAAGTCCGTAACCCTTTATAGCAAGCCAACTATATATAAAAACTCTTCGTAATAGGGTTATTTTTATTCATATACACGTGGTGTATTGGCCACATTGTATGCGTTTCTGTTATACGTTTGTCGCCAATGAAGTATGGTTTGCAATATCTATTCTCTCCAACGAGGCATTGGTCATTGCAGATTGGCATACATGTTCAACAGTAGTATCAACCTTGTAACATTATAATTCATTTTACTATTTCAGAGGAACCAAGGGCAACATCATGGATAACTTGATGAAGCGTATGGAGCAATACGCTAACAACCTGGAGAGTCTGGTGCAGGAGCGGACAAACGCCTACCTCGAGGAGAAGAAAAAGGCAGTGGAATTACTTCACAGATTGCTGCCGCCGTAAGTAGTAGCTGATATTAGTATATGTATACACTATCTGTGTATTACGTTATCATTTCTGGTACATTTATTGGCTAACAGACATAATGTGATTACAGACGTACAACAAGCGTGTTGAATTTGGAACCGCAATAGAATGACAGACGGATATACATGTGTTTTGCAAATGTGAAAGTCCTTAAATGTCCTTTGTTTTTGATAGGACGTTGAAACCAATAAGACTCAATATAAAACCAAGCAAATGGAATACATGCAAAGTAGTTCATGCGTACTACGTCATCGAATCTGTCGTTTACAGACATAATTTTATTTTGTCTATTCGCTACTGCAGTTGATATTGGCACGGCATAGAACATTAAGACTTCATTACACATTCAAATCGATTAAATAACTATATTATGTTTTCTTTCCTTATAAGTTTAGAGATACACTCGTACCAGTGTTACGTTTATTGAAGAAAAGTCATACTTTCATGCATAAGTTGTCAATATACAGAATGCACTACTTATGTAAAAATATCTTAGATCAGTTTGAATGATTATTGAAAACTTCGCTTTCTTATGCAGTTTGGTAGTTTGGTGTGAAGAAATTTTTGTTTGTTAGTTTAGATTATGATAAAAAAGTAACAACAATTTGTTTAGAGTGCTAATTCCAATCGTATGTATGTAACCTAGTTTAAATGTGTTATACTGTGATATTGAATAAGGCAAACCTTAGTAATCAGATATTGGTGTGCATTTGTAATTCAACAATATTATCTGAAGTAATAAAGTGCCAAGCAGGAGACAGGTTTTGTTTCGAGAGAAGTCTCTCCAGTCCACTGTTTTATGCGAAAGAACATCAAAATAAAAAGCCGATAGTCATATTCCTTGTGAAACCTAAAAACTTAATTTTTTGATTTGAATTTATTGGTCAGATCTGTAGCTGACCAGTTGGAGGCCGGACGACAGGTACTACCCGAGACTTATAAGTGCGTTACCATATACTTCAGTGATATCGTAGGCTTCACTACAATCTCCGCACAGAGCACGCCAATGGAGGTAAAATAAATACGACTTCAGACATTTGTATTTGTTAAAAATGCAAAATAATGAGAAATGACTTGAAGTGTAACATTTATTATACAATTGTTTCATACTTAAGTTAAAGATAAAGTTAGTTTCCAATACAGGAGCCGATAGAGCTCCTCTTCACTGGACTCAAAAATGAAACAATTGTTGAATACAAAGTAGAAGTTCATTGTTAATTACATTTCCCCTGTATTCATAAAAAAATCGCCAGCTAAAATTTAACTATTCTGTTCTTAAAATTATTGATATTTGGAGCAGATATAACCTCCAGAGGAAGATTGTTCCAGGTTTTAACTGTACGAAATGTGAAATAGTTTCTCCTCGGGGATGTTAGTGACTGACATGGAGATATTTCTTTTTTTACTCTTCTACAACATTTGAAATAGCTCTGCTTTCAATGGTAATTTTTTTGGTCAAAATGGCTTACTTTTACTTGTAAAGCTATACATTTGGTATGATATACTAAATACTTCGTATTCCGCTAAATGCTATTTTATCTATAAGTAGTGAGATCCTTAACTATTGATCCAATGGATATCATGATTGATTTTCAACATGAAGTCACATGTTCAGAACCCGGATTATAGTTTTATAGTATACGACACGACGGTGTCAAAAATGCGCTGAATGTTCCGTTCTACTAAAGACTTATCTCTGTTGTTGTTGCAGGTCATAGCTCTACTAAATGAGCTATACACATCCTTCGATACAGTCATCGACAAGTTTGATGTATATAAGGTAAAGGCGACTGCACATTGGGAAATTTTCGCGCAGTTTAACTTTAGCTTTTTTTGCCTTCTGCAATGAGGGCGAATTGATAATGACGGCGAATATAAGTACACAGCATACTATATATATATATTCGTCTTCTGGATAACCGAACTACTCGGTAGTGAAGCGGACGTAAAACCACTCAATCAATCAATCAATATAGCCATACATATGACAGGGCGAAATTAACACTGGGCACAATTGGATTTTACCGGTGAAGGGCAAATGTGTGACTTGGTGAAAGTTTGCTGGTTAACAGTATTTAGACAAAATAATAACAATACTGTTAACTAGAAGAAATCGGTACTACAACATTTATGTTATTTGGATATAGGGAACCTTTTTAAGCATATTTCTTTGCAAAGCTTAATGTAAACTTAATGAATAAGTCCGCAGCAGCATCTCATTACATTGGATCTGTTAGTCTGTCACACAATACCTGAATATTTTAACTATGTTTACATCTATTGGACTATGAGGCTAGGTTAAATGCTATTTATTGGTCACTAGGTAGAAACGATCGGCGACGCGTACATGGTAGTTTCCGGTCTGCCCCGTAGAAATGGCAACACCCACGCGGAACAGATAGCTTGCATGTCATTGGAGATCCGACAGGCTGTTCTTGGTTTTAAAATTAGACACCTCCCAGGGGAAGCATTGAAGATCCGGATAGGACTGCATTCAGGTACATGATTACAAGAATGGTTTGGATTCATTTTTAGCGGGGTTTCGATCAATTGATTGTTTTTTAAATATTGTACTTTTGACAAAGCTTTAATGAAACATATAATACCATCGAAAGCCACTCTGAGATAAAAGCCGGTCATTTTTTACTCTAACGCAGCTGCGTTATTTAATTTTATCTTCAAGCATTTTATCTTTACGCCAATCATTAGTCATATGCTCATAAGTATTCAAGACTCCTTAACATTTTTCAGACTCTCTTTGCGACTATGGATACAGGAAAGATATTTTGTAAAAATCTATATTACCAATTAAAAGATTGTGAAAAAACTATGTCATATAGTCTATTTGGATTGTCATTAACTATTTCATGTGTATTCATTAATTGGTGAGATGTCTTATAACAATTAAGATAAACATATAATTCCAACTGTAAGATTTCATTTAAAGCTATATTACTTTGATTAGTTCTCCGCGACCCTTTATGGTATCTCATACAAGTAAGAAGCGGAGATACCTTTCGGAGACCTCTTTTTACGTGTTTTATTCATTTCATGGCATCTTTCAGTTATTCAAACATATCTTATAATTATAATAAGCTATTACAATAATTATTGTCTCGATGGAGTCCAAAAGATATACTTTTAACAAATATGATTTTTTTCCCCTGTAAGAGACTACCCTTGATATATCTGAAAAGTAGTGTGGTACAATATTCATTTAAATTCTGCATATTATATTGGAAGTCATATGAAAGAAAACAAAACATGAGAAAGTTATCCCCCTTGACATTTGGTTTGTTGATCGGTCATTCCAGGCACAGTTGTGGCCGGAGTAGTTGGACTGACCATGCCTCGGTACTGTCTGTTTGGGGATACAGTCAACACAGCGTCACGTATGGAGTCTACATCAGAAGGCATGTGTGACTTCATTATTGGCAAAGACATGCTCTCTATGTAGAAGTATATATCATTACATGAGACGTTATGGAAAGTATTCACGTTAATGCATGCCTGGGCAGAGACAGGTGTTTTAGGGTAGGAAGGGATTCCCTCTGATAAAATTGGTGTTCCCAACTGTTTAATATGTGTCATGAACTAACTCCTAACCACCTTAAGGTTTTTTCTTTTCTTTTATTTATTAATTCGATTATTTGTCCTACCGATATGTTCATAAGACATATCACCTAAATTAAAAGTATTTTTGAAACACCAAAGAAAATCGTAAGCCTCGCTCGGAGTTGAAAATTAAGTGTCCCAATATCAAAAAGAAAACAATTTTGGCTTTGCTTCACGGTCTCTTTCAACTGTCACTATTGAGTCCACTTTGCCGACCTCAATGGTTGACTTTTATTATACCCTATATTAAAATAATATTCATCTCATTGTATTTCACTTCGGAAATAGAGCCCTTTCATTAAGTGATCAGATTGTGAATATATAATTTGAAGTAAATGTTGAAAATAAGTGCCCGCTAAATAAAACTGGTTTGGAGTAAATGTGTTTTGATTAGCATCGAATGTATCTTGGTATTTTTATAATTTAGTCCCTACATTTCTTTATTTATTTTCATAGCAATGCGGATCCATATATCAAGCCCAACTAAGTTAATCCTCGATAAATTCAACAAGTTCTGGATTGAAGATCGCGGTGAAATCACTGTCAAGGTATGTAAATATAAATACAGAAGGCAGAAAGGCCTAGCGGACGATCTGAAAGATTTATGTTTTTATTCTAAATATATTTGTATTGTTATAGTAAAACAATATATGTTATCTGTTGCACAGGACAATATTCATTTGTGAAATCTATGTAAATATAATGTTCATATGAGAAATGGTTGGGTGAATCAGGTGATTCGTGGCTATGTCTTATAGAAAAAGAACATGTTTGCCATGTGATATAAAGGTAATCAATGTGGTTTATACATTAATATATAATATCAATCTTTTATCATTTTCATAATTATATATATAAATATCAAATACTTATTGTGTTAACACTAATCTCTATAATGAGTTAACTTCTAAGATGCGATCACTTAATACCACTGGTCACTTATTACGGGTACAATTCACAGTGAAATCACTATCATACATCAGATGTATCTATTGAGCAGCGCTTAACATAGGTAATCTAATAATATAGGTAGTAGCCTTAGCAGATTTGACTCTATAGCCCTCTTTCATATATATATATTCTATTATTGCGTATTCCTTAACTCACCGTGAAAGGCGAGGAACAGTAAAGTGTGTCATACATGTACATCTTAAACGTATTTTCTTCTATTCGGAATAAAAAAAAACATGTATCATTTTCTTCTGCTTTTAGGGAAAAGGCGTGATGAACACATATTGGCTCACCGAACAGCTTGAACACTTAACTGATTGATGTTTGAATGATACGTTATAGTGTAGGCCACTTGTTTAGACCAACTTTCTTTGGCGTTTTAAAGAGCATATGTTCCATAGGAATTTGAATAGGCGGAATTATTGCTTAATGTTATTTTTCCTATTTCACAAGATACGCATAAAAATAAAAAGCTCTTCTTTCCTCGTGGACAGGGATTGACACAGTGACTCAGTAAGGATACTTTGATGTTCTTATTGCAGTCCAATGGTAACCTCATTGAATGTTTGCTTTGATATTTCCCTCTCGGTTTTTGTTTTTGTTTTGTATTTGTATTTCCATATATTTTTTGTGCATTGTTATATATTTTGATTGTATTCTTCTATTATTCAATTGTAATTTTATAAAAAAAAAATACATAGTGAACTAGAATTGCTCAATTTTTGTTTTGTAATATTTTCAGTTGAAGTGACAAGACAAGACGATTTTATGATGCAATTTTGTTTGCTTTATTTGACAATCATCTTCTTAAGTCTGCTAGTTATAATTTAATAGCTATGGTATTGCATAGTGTAACGGTTGAGGACAAATTCAATATGATTTGAAAACGATTTAATAAAATAACGGAAGAATGTTAAAAATAATTCGGTTCTACTTCAGTACCAAACCCGTCTATATCGCATAATATGTCAATGAGAATCAATGCATGTTATATCTACATATTCCTATAGGCCAACCATTTGAATAGACAACACGATTGCTCAAATCTATTTATTTATTTTCTCAAATATAGATTGTGTTTTACATGTTATCATTACTTCAACAGTGTAATTATACACTTTGAATACGTATTTGAATATAAAAAAAAAATGATTCAAAATATACATTTATTTATACAAATTCCGAGTCGGTTTTTCATTTCGCTTGTTAAAACATGTTTAAAATTAAAAGCACTTACTACATGATAATCTCAGATATTTGTGATTTTTAAAGGATTTTTTCCTTATTGCCAAATGTGATGTTATATTTTAAGTTATCATGTTGTGCAAACCAAATATTTAAATTAGACAGAAGTCCAGTGACACACAGAAAAAAATCTTTCTTTGTTTTATCTGAAATTTGTTATATGGATTCTTATTTCTTTTTTTTTTCAACGAAAACCCATGTTTTCATGATATTCCGTGAACGGACGTTAAGATTTACGAATGGTATTTTTTTTTCAGTGTAGATACCTTAAGTCATCTGTCTTTATATGATTTTAGCTTTTGAGAAATTGTTTAGGATCAATCATGAATTCAATATCTTCTTAGATCAAGAATAAATTTTAAATGTTTTACTCGTATGTGACCTTCTATCAATTCAACACACGGGTTTTGCATTATGTTTTCATACTTTTGAAATATACTGAATCTTTAACGGGGAAACATTGAATATTCTCTTTTCATATATACATGATGTTTATACATACAGTATATATTCAAAACCTCTGTAAAAATGTTTCGTGAAATCTACAGTGACTGCAGTGTGATATAATGTCAATATCATTGCATGATATGGTAATATGTATACTTAATTTTTGTATATTTTGTAAAATAAAAGCTATATGTCGTAATTCATAATATTCATATTCACGTGCGTTTCTGTCGAATGTATTATTGCATGGTTATACAAATAAAAACTAATATAAAGGGCAAACAGTTTAAAATTGATACTAAAACAACAATTATGGTCCAAGATCCTCTCACCACTGCCAAAATGAAATAAACAAAAGAGGATTAACAACATTGTTTTCAGTGTAAATATTCAGCAGGGCTAGTGGGGTTCGTACCCTGGACTTCAGATTCCTATGAAATCGCTCTAACTAAATGAGCTGCTTGGTCAACGGAAATGCTTCGGCCAAACCTTGCTTTAGTTATTTCCAAACGGAAGTAAATGGACAATACTGTATTTGGGAAAAAAAACTACAGTGCAGAAGCACAGTGATCCTTTATAAAAAATAAAACCTTTCTATCTGTATTTGTTAACGAAAATAGAATCAAAGGATTTTATGCTTAAATCGACGTGATTAGAAACCACAGTGTAAGTCATGTTTCAGCGACGTGAACTTGTAGAAACCACGTTGTTTGTCATGATTAATCGACGTGAACTTGAAGAAACCACGTTGTTAGTCATGATTAATTGACGTGAACTTGTAGCAAGCACGTTGTAAGTCATGAGTAAGCGACGTGAACTTGTGACAACCACGGAGAAAAACAGGATTTTGCAAAGGGAAACACGTGCAGAAGATCAGAGTTAAATCAGAATCGTTGTGTTTAGTCGCTTTAGAATTTATTCCCTGTTGTTAGATAGGAAATATCTTCTAAAGCGTCTATACCAAAAGGTTTGCTAACAATCAAACTCACGGTCATCTTCGTGTGAAACTAAATTGTCTCATAATCAGTCTAAATTGACAGAAACTGTATTCCTGCCCAGAGATTGCACATATCCACAATAAGTCAATATAAATACCAAGTAACATTAATTTTTCTCCAGACACAGACCAAAAACAGAGGCGATCGGCATTAAGGGTCATTGGGTATCTGATGCAATAGGAGGAATATATTTGAACTCACCATTATTCCTAGACACTATATTAGTAAAAAGGATACCAAATTATAACAATTTCCTACTAACGGTTTTACACAATTTTAATCATCATATTTTTATTTGATGCTGTGTTCCAGAGCAGAAGCTAGTTTTATCGTGGTTGAGAATAATGGTTTTGTAATTACCTGAGTGCATATTGTCGTATACGTAATCATCGTTCTGAATTAAAAGTCGTCAAGCGACTACTGTGTATAGTGCGACTTTCCTCCAAGCACCATGTCTCTGTTCACCATTTATTTTAATAACTCAGAGCTATAGTATACCACAATCAGAGCTATAGTTTACTAATATGAATAGGGTTATATGACGAAATAAAAGTTCAATTTCGCTACTGTATACGTCTTGTGTTGGGAGTCTAATAAATGTTTTTTTTTAATAGCAACAAACCAAACACAATGTCTTACTTTGAGGTATGATGGTAACATTTAACATGTATTTCAATGAGTAAAACTTGGTGAAATGGAAACTGGATCTAGCATTGATATCGCGGTTAATTACTGAATGATTAAGGTCCAGGTCTTCTACATAAATCGCCTCACACAAAGAGAAGGAATAACTTTCCGTACCGTATCACGTTTTTGTCTGACTACTAAACCTTAAATATGAAAAAAATACGTTACATTAAATAGACTATTTTAGCAAATCCGTAAAAATAAGGGTCCGCGTAGTATAGGCTTTTTCAGTATTGACTTGTCCAACATGGATGTGTAGTTTTATTACTAGTTATTGTTATCTTCTTTAAGTCCTTTGTTTCACGTCTTTAAGAACAGCAGGAACAGTTGTACTCTCATACAATGTAGGTAGGAAACGCCTGGAACACTGTTTCCTGTGGTCTAAATGGCGGCTCCGGATAACATTTCTCTGGGCATTTTTAACGCAACGGGGGACATAAATGAAAAAATTGTGCACAATGAGGAACACATATCAATGTATTGCTAAATTCAAAAAAATAAAAAATAAACAAGCCGCGTGTCTGGCAACTTTAGAAATCCACGGGTTGAGATCCCAAATCCTAACATTTCATTAACTACATTTGTAATCCTCTTGAAGAGTGTGAATACGTCCCTGTAGAGGCCTTGTATTCATTGACTTTGCTATTGTTGATTGATACGTCATTTACATTATGACGCAATATTGGAGGTCTCCGGAGGATATTGTCCAGGGACTGTTCTTTTTATTCAATAAAACATTCACGAAAATATGTTATTGTTTCAAAATGGAAGCAATATTTGATAAGTTTCATCTTAAAAACGTAATTATAAAGAATGAATGGCATTTTTGGTCATTTTATGAGCTCTTATTAGACATACAAATGTATGTGATCTTTGTTAAATATGCCTAGCTACTTTTCTACTTCAACGCAATACTGCCTTCTTTCACGAATACGTAACAGTATTTTGACAGTGACAACAAATTCCTATGGGTAAGATTGTGCCATTCGCGATGCACATACTACAAACACCAAACAAATGCGAATTTTATAGATGATCGATAAATACATGATTTCAAAACGATTCTGCGAATCCTTTTTGTTAACGTTATAACTTGTTGGTCATTGTAAAGAAAATTCAAATAAAATATTGTTAAATATAACTATGAAGCAGTCGTGTCCATATCATGTGATTCCACAATTATGTACATTTTGTATGTTCATCAGGTTAGTTTATACCAAAATTACAATTAAAAATGAACGTTCAATCCCTACATATATATACGTGTTATACCCTATCGACATTGATGCTTAAATTAACTGAGGAAATAACCAGAGATAATTTGGGTTATACGATAGGCCTAACCTGTTCTTTTTATAATTTTAGGACAAACAAGTTACCATTTTTTTCATTTTTAATATAGCTGTATTTTATTCGTTCATAATATTAAGTAGTACATGTTTTAACAAGAAAAAAATATTGTTATATAAATATACTGAATTTCAATATTCTTTATTTTGTTTTCAAGAAACATCAACATAATTAAGTAAAATAGCAATCGCGAGATAAAGAGAAAAAAACATAACATGTAATCTCATTCGTTTTATAGTGCATTGAATTGTACGAACTAGAAATAGTACTGAAAATTAGGTACTGAACCAGTGTTGTAGGCAATAGTGTAATACATTTTCAGCAACTCATATCATTCTTAAATTAACAGCCGATTAAAAAGTGCAGCGGATTTTAAAAAGTTTGCAAATATATTTCGTTGAAGGAAATACGTTATTCTGTTTTGTTTTTTATTATCAAAAAATGTAATTTAAAATGTAAATAGGGCTATAAATTGATTTACCCTGAATACTATGAAACTCCGGCTAACGATATTTGAGGAATTTGTATGACAACAAAGGAAAATAATTATCCCTGCCCAACTTTAAAACATTGTCTTAATATTTCAACCATTATTAAAGGCCTTTATAAAATTCCTTGCATTTCATTTTTCGGTTTCTTTTCATTCGAATGAAATCAATAGGGACAACATCTACAACTATTAAATATGTACTCGTTTGTTGCAGTTCTGACATATCAGAAAGTGAGATGAAAAAACAAATAATTTTCGCCATTAATATACAATCGATTTTGATATGTAGAGATGTATCTATCTACTTTACGTAAGTTTTGCAAAATTACAAAGGTGAGTAAGTAATGTTTCTTTATCACATTTTCTAAAGTAATATCCTGGACTTTATTGCTTCTTCAGTGCCCATATAATATCAGACGACTTTTTGTCAGGTTCACCAAAGTTTTTAATCATGAAGTTCTGTTGGACAGACAATTTCGTTTTTAATCTCATGGGCAAAACGTGTATTCAAGCAAGTCATCCTGTTGTTTCCCGTGCAAAGAAAATCACTTTATGTCGTCTGCTTTGCTTGCTCTTCCGAAATTGTTTGTCCGTCCCATGCAGCCAGTCCAGGACACCAAGAACGCCATAGTTTCCGGTAAATCTGGGCAGAAATATGATATATTATATATTTGTTATATAATTTCCGAAAAGAAAACCAAACCTTGCGCAACACTTTGTGAAAAACACTTAAGATGAATTAAACAATATATAACCATCAATAGTGTTCCGAGTGTATAACATCAACAGGGCTACACATGGTTTAACCTCTGGATTTCAGATTGATATGCTGCCGCCGCCCTTATTGTCTGATCAACCTGGTCAACAAAAGGGTACTGGCTCAACTGTGGGGCAGCTATACCGAAAACGTAAATAAGAGGAGGTTGCTGTTGATAAGAAAAACACTGTTCTGTGGGTCAGGGATCATTCACGTTAAACTCTGAGTGAATACGTATCTGCATCTGATTTATCGACCCTTAACAGTGTCTCGGAAGAAGATTCAGTCTGGATAACATTTAATATAAAATTATTTTATCGATTGTACTACTACAATGTTTTATTTACAAAATCAATCAATTAAAAATAACCAGTAGCAGCAGGTAATTAGTTCACTGTTAAATACTTACGACCATGATTATGGTAAATCTATATATATATTATGAATACAGAGAAAGAACGTTGTACACCGTATAAACAAATATAGTAAATATCACACCCAGTATCAACCCGAGATTCCAATATCTGATACTGGGTGTGACATGGAAATGGCATTTTTAATCCTGTTTATGACATACTTACTTATAAAATACGGATAAATCTACTATCTCTTTTTTCGGAATATTGAAAAACGAGAAATTTCATAAAGTGCTAACGATTTATAACATTTATAGTGATTTTAATTCAATATCAAAGTTTCTCTAATTTAATCCGTTATTCAGCATCAGCTATTGCTGAATTGTTTGTGAGCAAGGGTTCCGAATGACGTTGTTGGTGGTAGATGGAAAAATAAGAAGTGTTCCAAAAGGGCTGTGATACGGGTTTTGCGGGCAGATACGGGTTTTAGGGTGCAATACGGCGAAGTTATGATATAGCTCAATCTTTAGAGCTCAAAAAGTGCTTAAGTTAGAATACGTCAGGCACAGGATATCTGCAATATCAAAACATGCTTTAATGTTACTGATGACAATCTGGATTTAAAAAATCTTTACTGCATTTAAGAAATGTCTTAATTTTAATCGAATTCGAATTTAATGGACAACTGGAAATACAAGAATGATACTTCTTACTCACTTCAAATGGTGGTAGTCATGGAATTCCGGAGATGGCAGTAAAGGAAGATGGTAGCCACTGTGGTGTATAACTGTCACCGCAACTGACAGGAAGAACACCACACTGGTAGTCACCACGTCACATCCGACCACGAGGGGGCCAGTCATAATGGTACCGAGGTTCGAGAAGATGAACTCTACCGGATGTGAGTAAGCGGAAACCAGGCCAAATGGCGCCGTGAATTCATGATGTACCTTATGGTATCGTTTGTACATGAAGGAAGAGTGGAGTATCCTGGAATAATTAAAACGGCTTTAATTATGTCAAAATAGTTGTATTGAAAAGGAGTTTTATGGCAGAATTATTTCTACATGATAGTGAATTGTTTTTAATATTGTACAGTTTTATTCGCTCGAGGTCGGTAATGGGCATTATTGTTTTCAATTCTTTTATTTTACAAACATATAATGTTAATAAAACCAAGCACCAATTCTGCTACCAACCCAAGCACCGACCCTTCTACCCGCTATATCCCCGGTCCCGCTACTCACACAATAACAGAACCTGCCACCCACCCAATTACAAACACTGCTACCAACCCAATTACCGGCCCTGCTACTGACCCAATTACAGAACCTGCCACCCACCCAATTACAAACACTGCTACCAACCCAATTACCGGCCCTGCTACCAACCCAACTACCGACCCTGCTACCCACCCAATTACCGACCCTGCTACCAACCCAATTACCGGCCCTGCTACCAACCCAATTACCAACCCTGCTACCAACCCAATTACCGACCATGCTACTGACCCAATTACCGGCCCTGCTACTCACCCAATTACTGACCCTGCTACCAACCCAATTACCGACCCTGCTACCAACCCTGACCCAAACACCCATACCGACCCTGCTACCAACCCTGCTACCAACCCAATTACCCACCCTGCTACCCTACCCACCCAATTACCGACCCTGCTACCAACCCAATTACCGACCCTGCTACCAACCCAATTACCTACCCTGCTACCAACCCAATTACCGACCCTGCTACTGACCCAATTACCGGCCCTTCTGCTCACCCAATTACCGACCCATAAGCCACTCTCGAAACCAAAACTGACATATGGACTAGAAAACAACAGTCTTCTACAACAAATGTTACCAATAAGCTTTGTTCAATACGTAAGCTTTTGAACACGCCGAATCAAAGGTTTTTCAACTGCATTATCTAGCTTATTGCTGGTCAGAATTCCTTTCTGGATATAATCTATTTGGAACCTACACTCACTTGAAAAACTCACACAAAAGTTTGTTAGCAGTATCAACTGACGTACTGAATCGCTGAATACAAGCTTGCCAACCGACAACTCTCCATGAAAGAGGCTGATAGCCACAGCTGGTTGGGATGAGTATAACACAAGCGGTCAATCTCGATCTGCTCCCAGCGTTTGAACTTATCGTTAATCCTTCAACCACCATCTTTACACGGAACTAATCGTTAATCCTTCAAACACCATCTTTACACGGAACTTATCGTTAATCCTTCAACCACCATCTTTACACGGAACTAATCGTTAATCCTTCAACCACCATCTTTAGACGGAACTTATCGTTAATCCTTCAACCACCATCTTGACACGGACAAATCGTTAATCCTTCAACCACCATCTTTGCACGTACTACTCCACACACAAATGTATGACCGCACAAGGAGACAACAGTGAATTAAAGAGTGAGGAGGCTGCCAGTAGACCATCTCTCAGATTCAAAAGTATCCATAAAGACATCCGGAAAGACGAGGTCACTGGTTGTTTCCATATACTTTCCGGATCAACTACTACACCAACCAACAAACTAGTCGATTATACCAGCACAACGTAGCCCTGCCCATCACAGCACTTCACCATCCTGCCCCTCCTCTGCCGAGCCCACTTGCCGCACACCCTTCGGCTACCGTAACGTTTCAATATACTGGTTCTGACCTGCCCGCCCAGCCTACTATACCCTCCCTCAAACTATCTGGATCTACATACCGATGAGCGTAATAGAACGCGATTTCCTCTATAAGTATACAAAGGGCCACGTCCCTAAGAAAATGTAAAGGGGCTGGAACCTTGAAGGACTGGTCGCACCCCCTCCACACTTGAAGATGATAGTACAGGAACATAAAGGGCAGGTGAATCGCTAAAGAGTTGAAGGTTAACTGCTGAATTACTTTCTTGACGTCATCTCCGGTCACCTATTCAAATAGAAAAAACACGTATGTTGCTATCATCTGTGACGTAATGAAGAAAGAAATTACAGTTTTCGAATGTTAAGATATGATCAGCAGATTTTTGTAAAAATACGGTTGGTCAGGCGTAAAATGATAACCATTCGTGAATTTTAAAATTTTATACCATGATATGATTGTTCCCCGATTGCCCCGATTGCCCTATCACTACGACGTAAAGACCCGAACAGTTTCCAGGTGGAAGATAGCAATCGATTTACATAAAGGTTCAATGTTAACTGGTTTTATTTGTTATTTTCATTGATCCGAGTATTGGTAAAATCTAGCTATATTTAGCCATTCATGGCATTGCCACCACATCACCCGACCAAATCCATATGACTTTCGATAAGCAATGAATACCATGGCCAATTAAAGTCGCCATCATTATTATTATGTCATAATTGTACCGTTGAATATTACTAGTTCCTCCGTGTAGATGTGTGTTATATTTGTTAAGATTGATTAAGATCACTTCTGTTTTAAGATTTTCTCGTGGTCGCGATTACGAAACCAAAAACGCTGTTTAGTTTTCTGAAACGGCCCTTTGTCCAAGGGAAAAGGCGAAAAAAAAAATGCGGCCTTTCAAAATGTGTTAATATTGAGCATTGAATTACTTTACGATGGCATTTACAGTTTCTATAAATGAATACTAGATATGACAAATACAACATGAAGACTTCAGCGTGCTTTGTGGAAATTAGCATTTCCATTTGGCAATTTTTACCAAAAATGTATGGGTTTTTTCAAATGTCATTGATCCGAAACGAATCGTTTCCTGTTTCAATTTGTTTGCAACCTAATCTTTATATATAGACGGGTATAAATTAATAGCTTATTTATTATCAATTGTAAAAACAAATTACCTTAAAGTTTTGAGGTGGTTGTGTTTTGTACTTTAGCATCCATATTGGTTTTCCTGTCAAATCCGGAATCAAAAACAGTAAACCAGTCCCAAAATAGGCCACTGCTAAGGTGGTGCTGAGGACTGAAAAATGAAAGTTTATTTTAACCAGTGATGAATAAGATTGGATGCTTCGGGTTGCTTTAGTTTTTGCCCTTTCTCTTTGTCGCGGCAATGAAGCAAACTGTGCCGTTTTTTTTCTTCTGAAACGACACATTGTCGCAACGAAGGGAAAAACAACATCTTTTTCTTTTCTTGAACGGCTCTTTGACGCGGCGACGAAGAGAAACTGTTCCGTTTTGTTTTCTCAAACGACACATTGTCGCGGCGGCAATAAAGCCAAAAACGCTATTTTTTATGAAACGGTTCTTATCGCGGCGATGAAGCAACACTGTGCTATTTAATTTCTGAAAAGACACATTGTCACGACAGCGAAGCGGAAAAAACGTCTTTTTATTTTTCTTGAACTGCCCGTTGACGCAGTGAAAAGGCGAAAAACAAACGACCATAGAATATCCACACACAAATGTTCCCCTCACATATCAAGTCATTCCCATTTTTGCCAACGAGAAGATGACCTGTCTTTATTTACCTAAGGAAAGGCATGTGATTTCGCCTGTATTTTTGGAACTTCAATACTTCATAATAGAAGCAAACGGCATTGTTTTTACGCTGTGTCAAGTCATTAATGTATTTTTTATGTTTGGTACAGTGGACTCAATATTGTTCACGGTAAAAATGTGGAGGAGCAAATTAATAATCAATCACTCCTCTGTGATGAAGACAGAGCAATGTTAAGCTTGGTGAAAAGATTTTTGAGGTTCAGCAAGAGGCTTTACCCTCAGACTGATATGTCGTTGTGTCCATCAAACGAAGTTTGGAATTTTTTATTTGCCTTATATGACCACACTCATCCAACTGTAGTTTAGGAAGAATTTATTTTGTCTAATTTCTCAAGTGCATAGAAAATTGTCTTATTTAAATAATAATCTAAACCATGTCGTCGGACAATGACAATTTGTGACGTGATTTTAATTTGAACTACGATGTCATTTATTTCAATAATTATATTAACAGCTTAGCACAGGCGGAAACTCACTTGTAACCAAGGAAATAAGAAATTACCAAACAATCAATTTTGATAAACTTTACATGCTTCACTAAGTAAACCTTTATTTTACATTTTTTCTAATTTTTTTGTAAATCTCTTGATGATCTTGCACCTTATCTAGCAACTTAAACATTGCTATGTAGGTATTGGGATGATTTACTTCCGAGAGAATGTTGATAAATAAAAACTACTCGTTTTGAACATCTATTGTGATTTAATACTGTACGGGCCGATGAGAGAAAATTCTCCGATAACAGTTGTCTTATCATAGATATCACTTCAGCTTGAAGATAGACGAAACGGATTGTCATTGTACAGTATGCAGTTGCTGTATTTCACTTGTTCACCAAGAATCATACGAGTTGCCTCCCTTTATCAGAAAGAAAATTCAATGGGTAACTGAGGAGATCGTTATAGAGAGACAGGTAGATATTTGCGAATCGATTCAAATATACATTTACTGCTGTTATAATACACACAAATTTATTTCGCGAAATGTCCCGAATTCACTATATTTGATATACCCCCCCCCCCCCTCCCCTCTAATGTCCACACGCCTCTACATACAGAGAATATTTACGACATCGGTTGACGTAGTTTTAATATTTTGAAATGCTAATAACTACTTTTAGAAAATTAATATATACATACATGTATATGCGCAATCACATCTTAATCGCAAAAAATATTGGCTGAATAAGGGTAAGTAAATCTCGCTGGTATAAATACGGTCAATGTATCTTGTTTACATTTAATGATAACAGTGACCGGACAGTTTGTAAATATTAATGCTCGTGAAAACTAAGTTATCGTGTATGGACTTAGTCCTTATGTTAAAACAACCCTGACCTTGTGACAAAGACGTCGGCCCGACATTTAAATACCCACACTGCCACGCCCTCATCGTTCTCAAAGTTTCAACACATTCTGCTTTACCTGTTGTATTCCGAAACCACTCCGACTTAAAGAAATCAACCAGTCCCGAGATATCCGCCATTTTGTCAGTCAACATGAAGTGTATGGTGATAAGCTTTTGTTAGATTGTTAAACCTTTAAACTTCCGATAAAGCTCTATCTCGCTTCAAGAAATATATCGTCAACATCTGCATCCCTAAATTGTTTCTTAATTAAGGTAAACATACATATGTAAGATTGCAACATTTAATGTACACCTTCTGTCGCAAGTTGGCATTGTTCGTGTTTCATTTTCGAAATTAAAGTGTCCCGCTCTCTATATTATCTGCAATCTTTTTTTTTTTTTTATTTTTTTTTTTTTTACGTCCTACTAGATTCTATGGTCATTAAAGACATCCCAGGTTTTGGTGATGAAGGGAAGCCGGAGTACCCAGAGAAAACCACCGACCTGCGACCAGTACCTGGCGACTGTCCCACTTGGGTCTCGAACCCGCGACCCAGTGGTGGAGGGCTAGTGAAGTAGAATGTCAGACGCTTTAACCACCCGGCACTGCCGTCTTGGAGTTTCTCATTAACTTATTGTACGATGCTTTAATAAAAGATAAAAAATAATAATCGTGGGACATGGTAGCAGTAAGATTAACCGCTTATGATCTCTCTGAGTAGCTCTTTGATATTCTTCAAAAGTAAGGTACCGCTGTCAATAGCCTTGCGATGAGTTATTTTCAAAAGTCCTGTATCAATCCAGGGGATCAAGAGTAGAAGACAGTAACGCTGATATTCCGATTATCGACCCAAAAACTGACAAACAAATTAGTTCATTTAGATTAAATTCAACTGAAATACGTATTGTTCTACAGATATTGAAGCTCGGCAAGGCCTCGAGTAGGGACGGAATCAGCTACCATATGCTTAGAAATACTGCTCACACTATTTGTACTCCGCTCGAAATAATGTCTGTCTTTATTAACAGGGATTTATCCAAATAAAAGGAAATTACCCAAAATCATGCCATTGTTTAAAAATGGTGGAAGACATTCTCCTTCGAACTATAGGCCAATTTCTTTGCTGTCCACTTTTGTTAAAGTTTTTGAAAGAGTAATTTCTAAACTGCTTTATGGAAAAGTCTTTGTTTTACAAACATCAGTCTGGTTTTATGCATGGTCATTCTACAGTGTATCAACTCATTGATATTTATCACCAAATATGTATTGCACCTGAGGAAAGTTAGGAAACATACATGTGTTGTATTCTGTGACATATCCAAAGCTTTTGATATGGTTTGGCATAGAGGTCTTATGGTGAAGTTAAAATCGTACGGAATTTCATGTTAATTGCTGATATGGTTAGTAATTATTTGTCTCAGAGACATCAGAAGTATTTTTTTAAATAGTTCATAGTCTTCCTTTGAGGTAGGAGTTCCACAAGTCAATTCTTGGACCACTTTTATATTTTATGTTTATTTATGCCATAACAGGTATTTCGAATCAACGTCTCGTCTTTTTGCAGACGATACATCCTTATCAAAGTCATCATCATCCTGTCTAGAAATTCAAAAACTTTAAATAGAGAAATAGATAGCCTTGATACTTCGTAAAAAAACCTGATTGATTAATTTTCATCCTGAAAAACCCAGATGTATTGTTTATTTCTAATTCCATTGAGTTAGACTTAGAATTGTATTGGAAAGTCCTAAACTTTACAGATTGTCATAAACATTTAGGGGTAACTTTTAATTCATGTCAATGGGATTTACACTTCTGTTATAAAAATATATTAATGTCTTAATTACGGAAACTGAAAAACTTATTAAGTAGTGATGCTCCTTTGATGATTTACAAGACTTTTATTTTACCAGTTTTAGAATATGCTTGTGAATTGTGTGAATAAACTACATTTGAATAAGAAAAGTTAGAAAAAGTCCTATGTGACCATCCAACATTATATTATGACTTCCTTCATATACCCTTATTATTACTGTATAATACAAACCTGGTCTGTACTCTTTATCTAATGGCAGAAAACGAAAGAAACCTTTCAGACTGTCTCTGACCATACTTAAGAATTCCTCCTTTCAGACTCTCTCTGACTAACTCTTCATGTATACCTTCTACTCTTCATTTTTGTTAGAATATTATAACTTAGAAAATTCGGTTCGATCCCTGCCCACTATAAATTCATTCAAATCTTGTTTAACACAAATATACAGTCAAGTCCACCTATTTACGCAATACATGTATTTGTTAAACTCTATCTCACCTTAAAGGTTCAATTAAGTCGGTAGGCCCATTTTAATTAATTTCCATCACTTTAGCTCACTTAGTCTAAAGGAGCCCACACTTCGAGTTCACTCTTCGTTTCAATGATCTTGATAATTTTGTGAAATGTTACCTTTGACAACTTTTACATCCACATTGTTTAATTGTGTGCTGGGACAGTGAATAAAACAACATGGTCAGCTTGCTATAAACATGTATTATGGTGTGTTCAACTCTAAACATAATCCGCTGGCTTTGTGTGAAAATATGACTACAAACTAATACGACGAAACAACGTGATGTTATTGTTGTTTTAATGCGTCAGTACTAGTATTAAATCATTTCCCGACTCGGCTAGTACTACTGTCCCTCCAGATTCCAGAGTCGAGCCATCATAAAATAAGATCACAGGGGTGACTTCCCCTGTTTTCATTACGACGTGATCACGGAGACCTCCATTGGTAACTTACATCTTATAAATAAATACATAAAAACAAAAATCAAACAAATAAAGAAAATCTTGCTTTAGCAAGCTTTGCAATGTTCATTAAAGCTATCGACTGGGGTCGGTGAATGTCCCAGAATTCCCTATTATATAAATGTTTACGGTGTTACTATCGACTGGGGTCGGTGAATGTCCCAGAATTCCCTATTATATAAATGTTTACGGTGTTACTATCGACTGGGGTCGGTGAATGTCCCAGAATTCCCTATTATATAAATGTTTACGGTGTTACTATCGACTGGGGTCGGTGAATGTCCCAGAATTCCCTATTATATAAATGTTTACGGTGTTACTATCGACTGGGGTCGGTGAATGTCCCAGAATTCCCTATTATATAAATGTTTACGGTGTTACTATCGACTGGGGTCGGTGAATGTCCCAGAATTCCCTATTATATAAATGTTTACGGTGTTACTATCGACTGGGGTCGGTGAATGTCCCAGAATTCCCTATTATATAAATGTTTACGGTGTTACTATCGACTGGGGTCGGTGAATGTCCCAGAATTCCCTATTATATAAATGTTTACGGTGTTACTATCGACTGGGGTCGGTGAATGTCCCAGAATTCCCTATTATATAAATGTTTACGGTGTTACTATCGACTGGGGTCGGTGAATGTCCCAGAATTCCCTATTATATAAATGTTTACGGGGTTACTATCGACTGGGGTCGGTGAATGTCCCAGATTTCCCTATTATATAAATGTTTACGGTGTTACGATCACCGTACCCGATATTTCCAAATGTTTTAAAAATACAAACTTTCTTGTTCAGAAATGAATTATATATATATGCAACAATTTCATACAAATCATGGTGTTAATGGACGGTGTTACTTGTAATTCGCTCAGTTATGAGTTTAAGAAATTTTTCAAGTGAAATTAATTCTTCGTTAGTGACAAAATTAAACAATGTGTTAAACCTGAAAGTAATAGGTATTTCAAAATGATATCTTGACATACATTTTCTTCTGTGTTGCGGTATTTGGTCATCATTACAATTAAACAAAGAATGATATTAGTCTCCGATTTCATTTACGTCGCAAAGAATAGATTTTCTATCTTATCTTGAAATGTTATTCCATCTATCACATTCAATTGGATACAATACACATTTGCTTGGAGGGGGATCTAGCAGGTATTTTTCTAATACTAACTCATGCTTATAGATTCTGTAATTGGTCCAAGTATAGGTGAATTGAAAGCATCGGTTCTATAATACTTCTATAACAGTATATAATACTAACTGATAATATATGTATATACATTTTTATTACAGTGTCACATGTTAATGCATGCATCAAACAGATACATTTCACAAACTCGGGTAAAACCATCCTAACACCCAGTCATTACGGACTTATGAGGCACTTAAAAGCAATTTTAAATTGGTTATCACACTTAGTTTACGTAAAATACATGCATCAAAAAGCATATATATATATATATATAACTATTCAGAGGTTGTATATACAAATATGTCTCCCTAATAATTGAGATACGGGTTTGTACAATAATGATACTTACACAGTGTGCCCACAGGCGTTACCGCACGAGTAGCGTGACACGAATTAGTTAATTGGGCAGTGAATTCGCATGGATAAGACAGACCTATGGTAACTGTTTACCCGCATTACAGCTATATGTATGTACAGACATAAAGCCCATTTTTATAGGAATTTAAAAAGACTTCGCAAGAACTGTTTTTTTTTATCGCCAAATTGATGTTATTTTCGCATTTTGCGCTATTGGCAACCGCTGGTGTGAACCCAGTTAAGTATCGAATAACTAATATACCGTTGATTAAATAGGAGGCACGTTAGTGTAATGGTAGGACGTCGGGCTCGTGACCAAAGGGCTGCGGGTTCGAGTCACGTCACGGAACTGTGTTGTAGCTTTGAATAAGATACTTTACTCCGCTTGTTCCAGTCTACTCAGCTGTAAGTGAGTACGTGGTTGGGCAGTGCTCACATTGTTCAGTGCTAGCTGTGAGCGCCGAAATGGCAGCACCGGCTGTATGCTAAAGCGGTATATAAGAACCTCAAATTATTATTAGTTTAAGAATAATAAGACATTAAGATTACATAACCACACATGTGACTATGAGTCCTAATGATACACCTTAAATGACCCCTGAATTAAGAAAACAATAAAAATTAGAGATAAGTTGCATAAAATGTCGAGGTCAACCAAACATCTTTCGGACATCAACAAATTAAAATCTCAACGGAATAAGGTCAATAACATCAAAAAGTAGGCCAGTGAATTATTCAATGAAAGTGTTCATGGTATTATTGAAGAGTATTCCTCCTATGATCCAACAGCT